TATTATGCGCTATATGTTTTATGTGATTGAATGATGCTTTGTACTGTATATTGTGTATTTATGGAATGTGATGCACTGTTTGAGACAAGAGCGTCGATGCTTGATCATTGGGCATGCAGTGGTGTGCTAGCACTGCAGTATTTCTGGGAGCTTCGGGAGACACAGATCCATGTGGGATCGATTATCCGATGAGGGTATTATGAATGTGTTGTGGCTTTTGAATTCTTTGGAATTGTTTGATGTTGTTGTTTGATTTGTGTATCTACGTAGTATCTACCTACTCTTGTGTATTACTATTATTTTCATTTTATATACAACATGTATACTCATTGAGCGCGTAGTTTAGCTCACACCCTTATAATTTCTTTTTTCATGTACTATCGAGGAGAATTGCAGATCAGTCCACTGTCTAGTAGGTTAAGTATTAGCTCGTGGAGTTGAATTCAGTCCGGAGTAGTCCAACAAAGTTAGTGTGATTACTCAAGTTGTATGTCTGTTAATTATGTATTTAGTTTTAAGGAGTGAGTGTTAGAGGTTAAGTGTCTGTATATTTATTTGCTGGGTTGTATATTATATTAAGTGAGAAATTATTATAGCAGGTTAATAGTGTATAATTGTAAACAGACTCAACAAGCATACTTTGTGATGTATATTATGTGGGTGTGAAATTTTGTATATGTATAAGGCTTGGAAAAAAAAAACAAATGGTACATGTGTTATATATAGTACAAGTTATGAGTCACGTATTACTATTATGCTTAATGACTAAGGTGATGGGCGGTGTTATTGTTGCACCTGTGAGATTTATTTGATATTTTATTAATCCAGATTACATATGTAAACAAGTGTATCAAAAACCTAGTCGCATCTCTTCATTGGGAGATCGAGATGGGGCGTGACAGATCTAACCTGGATCGCTTATGTAGCGATCGGGGTTTTAGTAGTGACTTGTAGCAAACTAATCTCAAGCGGCAACCGGTGATCAAGTTGCAATCAGGTCCAATATAAATTTCACTTATACTCTTAAATTATTATCTTTTTTTTAATTTTTTCTTCATAGTTTTCATATTACACCCTCAACTATGTAATTAGTTTCATATTACCCCAATATTTTTTATCTATTTTAATTTAACACAAAAAGTGTTCTCAAATATGATAACTTTGTTGTAATTTATTTAGTGATGAAAAATTTTTGTTGTAATAATTTTAACTTAATCCATAATATAACCCAAAAAAATGGCAATTTTACCCAAAAAAATTGTTGATAACCTTACTGTAGCATTTTAGTAATAGCCAAAAAAATTTAGTAAACTTTAGTTGTAATTTAGCCTAAAATAATGGTGAATGTTAACTCAATCCTAACCTCATAATATTTTTAACTTAATCTAAAAATGATAAATTTCATGTCACTCAATAACTCCAAATATTATAAATTTTTCTTTTTATTTTTATTTCAGGTTTAAATATGATAACTAATTATCATTTTTAAAACTAATTTTAATTTCTATTATCACTTAAAATAGTGGTGTACTTAATTTGATAACCTAATCCTAACCTCCTAATATTTTTAACTTAATTTAAAATGATAAATTTAATGTCACTCAATAACCCCAAATATTATAAATTTTTTCTTATATTTTTATTTAAGATTTAAATATGACAAATAATTATCATTTTTAAAACTAATTTTAATTTCTATTATCACTTATTTTTAATGTATATACCGATTTCACTTATTTTTTAAAGTATATTTAATACTCAAAAAATGTGGTAAACTGTAGTCGTAATTGAACCTAAAATAATGGTGAATTTACTTATTTTTATTTTTCTTTATATTTTTATTTAAGTTTAAATAAGATAAATAGTTATCATTTTTTAAAATTAATTTTAATTTTTATTATCACCTATTTTTAAAATATATAATAATTTTATTTATTTTTAAAATATATACCAATGAAACTGACTATCAATTTTGAACTGCATAGGTGGCGAGGCATCTTACTTTTTCGGTATGATACCGACTTTTACCTTTCCGATGTGGAAGCCAACTCCTAAACACTATTGTATCCCCTTCAAATTCGGCTGTCCAAATCATTTAGTCCAACTGTCACTGTACACCTGGCCAATCATATACTATGTACTCAAGAGAAAGAAGTGATTAGTGATCAATAATAATGTATATATTGTTTTTTTTTTGCTAAAATAATAATGTATATATTTAATATTACTTTCTAATTATAAATTTATAAAAACAATGATTCCAAGGATTTTCCATCACGAAAAATTACTTGTTCATATACAAAAGTAAATAACTTATAAGAATATTTTATTTTTTCCATGGATATCCGATAAAATTGAAATGATGTACCAAAAAAAAATACTTTATACCTGATCAAACACTCTATTTATAAAAGTTAGAGGTTGACGTAACGATGATTACCCTGTTTTAAACATTATCGGGCCTTTGTTTCAAACCTTGTTATCTCTCTAATAGTGTTGACAAAAAAACCTCTTAATGTAAAATGGTGGAACCACATAATAAAGAAGTAGTCCATCGTTGTTGAAAACCTTTTAATACAGGAAGCGAACATGCGAATATTTCTATGCCAGTGACACTCAGGACCTAGAATTCTTTGTCCTGGGCTCGCTTCTCTCTCTTTCTCCCTCATATAGATAATATATATACAGATGCATGTATTAAAATAGTCCCCAACGTTCAAAGATCTACATATATATATATATAGTCTGGGTCCAACCTATCTCCTTCCTGTTCCAGCTCTTTTCCAAATCCAATTGACAGTTGGTGCTGCTTCACGCATATTGAGATCTGTTTATGTGACTCACAGACAGATAGTGTAGGAGATTTATCCGCACGTTCGGGATGTCCTCCCTCTATCGAAGAATTTTGACTGACCAGTCGTAAGTTTACACTTTGTGCCAGTAACTTTTACCTCCTGGTCTCCGCGGGCACCACCTCCTTATAGTGCCAAGGCTTATATGCGGGGGGAGACGACTCTCCGTCAATGTGGGACAAGTGTGCCCGCGGAGATTGAAAAGTAAAGGCTACTGGCACAAAGCGTAGACTTACGCCAGATCAGCCAAAATCCTTCAGAGGGGGGAAGACATCCCGAACGCGCAGATAAATCCCCTACAGATAACTATGACTTTTTGTACACAGGTACAACTACCACAAGTTTTTATGTCATTCATGCAGTTTTGCAAATCAAAAATACACAATTATCAGCAAAATCTTATACATAGTGATGATACACAAATTGATTTTACGCACTATATATCAAGTAATTAGTATGATTAGTAAAATATAGTAAATATGATAAAAAAAAAAAAAAAACTCAACACAAGCAACACACAAAGATAGAATGGTTCGGCTAGCTATTCCACTTTGAAGAGTTTTGGTTGCTGGGGTATTTTATTGTTGTAGGAGTATGGAGAGTTTAGGTGAGAGCAATGAAAGTTCAGGTGAGCTAGATGTGAGATAAGATGTCAGATGCCCCTTATGTGTAGGTGGAACTTACAATTTATATGCATTTCCTATTATATTGATGCGTTATATTATAATAGATAAACTAATTCGGTGAAGATGACACCATTCTTCGTAATGGACTAGGTAGTTGCATGGAGATGGCGTGGAAAACTCTTTACCAATTGCAGACTAGGATGGCGTGGCTCCAAGAAAACGTGGTTGAATCCTTAACTCTAGGATGGCGTGGTTCCAAGATAATGTGATTGAATCCTTGACTTTAGGATGGCGCGACTCCAAAATAGCGTAGCTGAATCCTTGACTCTAGATGACGTGGACATGGACAACTTGTTGGCTCTGTGATGAGCCGAGCTGGGTCTCATCTGGATTGAGTCCATTGGGCTTTGTCTAGGGTGGACCCATTACTTGAGTTGGACCTTACTCGGGTCAACCCCACTACATGAGTTGGGCCTTCTCTAGGCTGAGCCCTTGTCTGGAACGGTTTCATCACATAGAGTTTAGCGGAACGTCTTTAACAAAACTCAAACTACAAAATTTCTAAAAAATTAATCATTGAAATTTGGTCATTGAAACTTAAATGGGTCTTGTTTATCATGAATAAGGATGCATGGTTACTCCACCTAACATGAGATATAATTTTTTTTTTTGAGTATTACGATCAGTAATGTCTTAATCAATTTAAGCGTATTTTAACTAATTATTTATGTAGTTTATTTAAAGAGAGATCTTCTATGTCGGGACTAAAAAATTAATAATGGATAAATTCTTTATAGCATAACCCAAAGAGAATTACTAAGCTTTAAATTAAAAATATCTGATACAACATATCCTTATATCTATTGAGGACATTAGACCCACATAAATTAATTGGTCAAAATCATTAATCAATAGACTCTTAGGATGAAATTCCAACTACCTTTTATACTTATGAAACAATATTCTCAAATAAAATCATTCACCCAAAAATTCTTTCCCATTTTACACCTTTTATTCTTCTTTTTCATTAAATTTAGAAAAAAAATCTAATGCTTTCGTTGATTTTTTAAATAATGTTCTTTTTGAATATAAATACGTGTAAAATAATATATTTTACACGTATTTATATGTAACACGATTTTTATTTTTTAATACTAATAGACTAAAATGAAGGCAAAGAAAGAGACAAAAAACCCTCAGAAAACACAAGAAAATGATAAAATACACAAAAAAAAAATCCCAAAAATTAAAGTAGAGAAAACACACACACCAAATAATCCCAAAAATTAAGTACATAAATCAAAATCAAAAATACCAAAAAAAACCTCCTATTTCAATCTTTTTTTTTGGTCAACTGTCAAAGTGTCTCAGTTTAAGCACAGTTCAATTATTTTTTTTTAATTAAATTAAAAATAAATCATTTACACTAAAATTTTAATATTTTTCAAAATAAATTCTTTATAAGTATCACTAAAAAAATTATCAAAGTTCAATAGCTACACTTCAGCTACTCTCGGTGGGTTTTATCCTCCTATCTCTATCATTACAGTGTCCTCTCCTCTCTCTCTCTCTCCATTTTCTCTCTCTAACAATGGCTTCTCTCTTCCGAGACCGAACTCTCGGTCATTCTAAGAGAGAAACCTCCGCCAGCACCACCAGCACCACCAGCACCACCATGCCCACCATTACTTCTTCATCTCTCCCATCCCCATTTGGCGACCTAACACCAACTCTCACCACCACTGACCTCCGAGACACCGCCTACGAGATCTTCGTCGCTGTTTGCCGTACTTCCACCGGAAAACCCCTCACCTACATTCCCAACAGCTCCAACTCCGACCGATCTCCGTCACCGTCGCCGTCATCTCTATCAAGCTCACCGTCAATGAGTAAGTCGCTGTCTTCGACTGCGGCGAGTAAGATGAAGAAGGCTCTGGGACTCCGATCCAGCTCCAATTCCGGGTTGGTTTTGAAGAAAAGCGAGAACAGTCCGGGTTCGGGTGGGAAGGCAAAGAAGCCGGTGACTGTAGGAGAGCTAATGAGGGTTCAGATGAGGGTTTCGGAGACGGTGGATTCGAGGGTGAGGAGGGCTCTTTTGAGGATTACTGCTGGGCAGGTGACACATTGTTACAGTTCTGCTCAATTAGGTTTACGTGTGGGAGTGTGTCTGTGTGTTTTAGTTCAATTTTGCATTTTAATTATTCGATCTGGTGTCTGAGTTACAAAGTAAGTGAATTATGGCGTTTTAGGCTCTTTTTGATGATGATGTTTTTGTTTGGTGAGAAATGGATTAATTGTGATGTGATGAGTCACAATGGTGTTGCCAGTCTATATGTTTTGTGCGTTTGTTGTGTCTTTTGGTTTGTGCATTTCTTAATGGAAGTTCTTTTATTTTTTGGAAGCTAAAGATTTCCTTCTTTTTTTGTCCTTTGAATGAATGTGTATGATTGTTTTAAAGGAATTTTTGGAATTTAAGTTTTGTGTGTGGATCAGAAAATTTATTGATAGCATGTCTGGAAGTCAGTATAGGGTGACTCAAATATTCCAAAAGTGGCCATCCAAAATGGATAATGATGCATTGCCATACTGACCTATTATATTGGGCCTAACTTATTGAAATCTTGATAAATATGTAGAAATTGGACACCTTCTGAGTTTTTTTTTTTAAAAAAATTCATTACTCCAATTATGGGCCAAATTCTGGCTGAGGTTTAATGATGCTGTGTTTAACTGGATGAGTTTGATGCTTGTGAATTGAATTTGGAATAATAATAGTACAAACCTTGTAGAAGTACTTCTCCATTTCTGATGAGGTTGATGCTTGTGAATTGAAATTGGAATAATAATAGTGCAAACATTGGAGAAGTAATTCTCTATTTCTAATTCCAAAGCTCTGAATCCACGCTTCTCTACACATCATGAATTTATGTAATTCAATTTATGTACTTGTTGGGACATGTAATTTAGAGGTCTTGCTTGAAGTGATGACAAGTGCCCATCCGCTCAAGCAATATTTCGTGGGTTCAAATCCAAAAACCTGCCTCTCTCGAACTGTGTACCATTTATTTCTCCCAAACCCAATAGACAGGAGTCTGTTGTACTAGATATGAACTTGTAGGTAATCTATATGTTTCCGGTTGAGATTTTTTGGTTTGTATCTATGTTGTAAAATATGTCACTAGTACATATATGAACATTCAGGAGTTTTATATTTGCTGCTAGTTTGTCTTGTAATATATCAATAACAAATATTATAGTTTTTGTTTTTTTTGGTTCTCTACCCCCCCCTCTCTCTCTCTCTCTCACACACACACACACACACACGGAGTCACACACGTATAACTATGCACATTCATTTTAACTTTTTGGTCCTGTTGGCTTGTGGGAATTTTGGATTTTTGTTCATCTTATTGTGACTTAACTAACTAATCGCTCTCAAAAATGGTAATGAATTGACAGTCAAATTTATGATATTTCGTCGGTCTGTTTTGCATGTTTCTAGGACCATAACTATGTTTTAAGAGCAGTTTATGGTAATTTCACATGTATACCTTTTGCATGTTTCTAGGCCTATAGTCTATAACTATGTTTTATGATGAATTTATGGTTTTTCTCATGCATATCTATGTAAAGCGACATTTTGCGTTTTTTTGGGGGTAAAATGTTGGTTTGAAGGACCTTTCTTTGCGCAGAAAAATGTGTATTGGAGGAATTGATCACAAGATTTTTCTTTTACTTTTTGATAGGTTGGAAGGAGAATTGAGTCTCTGGTTCTCCCATTAGAGCTATTACAGCAGTTCAAATCTTCAGATTTTACGGATCAAGAAGAATATGAAGCTTGGCAGAAAAGAAATCTGAAAATGCTTGAGGCCGGACTCCTTTTACATCCTCATATGCCATTGGATAAGTCCAATACTACTTCACAAAGGCTGCGACAAATTATTCAAAATGCCCTGGATAGGCCAATAGAAACTGGAAGGAATAATGAGTCGATGCAAGTCCTTCGTAGTGCTGTAATGTCTCTTGCTAATAGATCATCTGATGGATCCCTATTGGAGTCATGCCACTGGGCAGATGGTTTCCCACTGAATCTCCGACTCTATGAAATGCTTTTAGAAGCCTGCTTTGATGCTAATGATCAAACATCCCTCATAGAGGAAGGTGATGAGCTTATGGAACTCATAAAGAAAACTTGGGGAATACTTGGATTAAACCAAATGCTCCATAACCTTTGCTTTTCATGGGTTCTATTCAACCGTTTTGTTGCAACTGGACAAGTTGAAAATGATCTGCTATATGCTGCAGATAGTCAGCTAGCTGAAGTCGCAAAAGATGCAAAGACAATGAAGGATCCTGCATACTCCAAGATTTTGAGTTCTACATTGACTTCAATATTAGGTTGGGCTGAGAAAAGGCTTCTTGCCTACCATGATACTTTCGATAGTGGAAATATAGGTTCCATGGAGAGCATTGTTTCTCTTGGGGTATCAGCGGCCAAAATCTTGGTTGAAGATATATCTAATGAGTATCGGAGGAGGAGGAAAGGTGAAGCTGATGTGGTTCGCAACAGGATTGACACTTACATCAGGTCATCACTTCGGACCGCTTTTGCTCAGGTTAGTCATTGTCATCTGCTGTGTAGCCTTTCTCTGAGCAACAAGAGGCCAAATGTGGTAGTATTGAAATCTGATTTAATAGTCTATGTTCCTAGGCACATATAGTATGCCAGGATCATGTTGGTCTTGTCTTATGAAATAATAAGGGAAAGTTGGAATGGTGATGCATGGTGCAACATGTTGGATATTGATTGACAAAACTTAACGAATTAGATTCTAAGACATGGAATGCCTACATTTCTTGTTTTCCTTAATCATGTATAAATTAATATGTTCCTTTATCCAATACACTAAATGTGAAGCTTGGGGGATTACAAGATATACTGTTAATTTTTGATAAATATGGTAATAAATGTGAAATTCATATTCCCAAATTTAGGAAATAAAGTGAAGCTAGAGTTCCTTTTTTCAATTAGCATAGACTGAGGGATTAACATGTGATTATTTGGAGTTATTCTCTGGCAAGGGTACTTCTTACCATCAACCTTCATATTTTTTCGGCACAATTCTGAAACAATTGTGGTGCCATAAGGGACATAGTGGCAGGACCTGCCACATATTTGCTGGTGTATATAGTCATGTCAACATCTAATTGTTAGATGGACAATCTGATTTTCTGTTGAAGATCTGACTAAAGAAAAGTTTGATCTGTCAAATTGCAGAGAATGGAGAAGGCAGATTCAAGCAGGAGAGCATCAAGAAACCAGCCAAATCCTCTTCCTGTCCTTGCCATTCTTGCAAAGGATGTTGGTGAGCTGGCAGTTAATGAGAAGGAGTTATTCAGTCCTATACTGAAGAGATGGCATCCTTTTGCTGCAGGTGTGGCTGTTGCCACACTTCATGCTTGCTATGGGAATGAGGTGAAGCAATTCATTTCGGGTATTACGGAATTAACGCCAGATGCTGTACAAGTGTTGAGAGCTGCAGATAAGTTGGAGAAAGATCTTGTGCAGATTGCTGTTGAAGATGCAGTGGACAGCGACGATGGTGGGAAGGCAATAATCCGTGAGATGCCGCCTTTTGAAGCTGAAGCGGCCATAGCCAACCTGGTTAAAGTTTGGATTAAGACAAGAGTAGACAGACTGAAGGAGTGGGTTGACAGGAATCTCCAACAAGAGGTATGTTATACTCACTATTTGTAGTTGTGAAAATTCTAATGTAAAGCTTGATGCAACAAAAATCACTAATTGTTTAATCCATTTATCTCGGATTCATCTTGTCTCATACAGTCATACCACGAAATATTTATTCAAACACAGAGGTAGGCACTGTGCAGCATTTCTAGGGTGCATTCAATAACTAAAATTGCAGATGCAATTCTGCTCCCCAGTTGGATATACAGGTTTTGTGACTTTGTCGATGACTAATTTGTATTCATCATGACTAGATTTCATAATGCAATCCAGACATAAGTGAAAGAAAAGCTCAATTTCTTGGTTTTTTGTTGAACCTCCCTTCCACCTGTGCTCTCTTTTTGTTCTTCTGTTAAACAGTCTTTGTGAAATTTCTGATATGGTGTGTTTTGAAAAGTTCGAATCCCTGTTGCATAACCTCCTCTGCCATTGACCCAAACAAAATCTCCTTTACCATGGACAGTCATCTTTTTCTTTCATTAAGTATATGCTTATAAGAAAGTGAGTTTAAAATATTGTAACAGTGAAGGTGAAAATGTAAAACAGTTTGCAATACTATAAAAGAGTAGCTTGAGGATAGGATGAATATCTTATATACTTGGTCTGAACTCTGAAGGGTGGAGGATATATATCAAAGAGACTTTCTATGGCCCTAAATAGGGATGAATTTGCATTATAAAGATTTGATGGGTATTCAACGGATAAACCTAAAGAAGTTGGTACCCTGAGTTACTTTTATGTTTGAATCAAGCTTTATTTGGCAAGTGGCTTTAGGGATCACTGGAAAGGGGTATACTCTAAATAGAAATGTTGTGTCGAAGCATGGGAAAGATGGAGAATGACTGGCTCCATAATAGGTTGAAATCTTCTTTTAGCCCAGCGATGTGTTGACTTCAGTAGACTGCCACCTATATAATCCAGGCCAAATGTCCCAGTATCTTTTAAATGTTCAAAGATATGCACAAGAAGAGGATCTTTGCGTAGCTTGGTTGCTGAAACAATCGTAACTCAGTTAGACAGAAAATAGTTTCTGTCACCTCTTTATATTGGCTGCAATGATGGAGGTATATGGAATGAGATACAATGGCAGAGAGATTGCTAATAAACGAAGATCAGCAAACACAACCGTCCAGTTTTTTAGTACTTTTATCCTGAAATTCTCCCAATCAGCAAGGAGAATACATGTTAATCAAGGCATCAATTGCGAATGATCTATGTTTGCAACAGGAACTTGTTCAGCAAGGAATTTTCACTTTAATTTCTCTGAGGGATAGTCTCTAGATTGTACATGAGATGGTGAGAAGCATGATTTCACTTGAACAAATGGAATCTCCTTTGCTGTAAATTGTTGGTGGAAACGTTCCCTGCTCAAATTGGAGCCAATTGGCCCGATTATTGTCCAACAAGGAGTTATGGCCTACAGAATGTTAAGGAAGTTTTGGAAAAGGCTAGATTGTAATGAGACAGCTCGATAATCCCGTTGAAGGGAAGCTTTTGAGGTTGGAGCTATGAGGACTTCATATATTGGAAGGATATTTAGTGCAGTACTGCAGTGATACCTCAATTTTTTTGTAGAACTACTGTATTCTATTGGAATCTCTATTGTTCTCGAAGCCGGGGATGAGAGTTTTTAACGGTCTGTTGTGAACCGTGCTTGTCAAAAGGCAAAGCTGAGCTGGTGAATCACTTTCTTTTGCATTTTGTTGTGTTGTGGGAACTTTAAGCCTGCAATTTCTTTCTTTAGATGTAACGAGATCATGTTCAAATAGTTCTTGATGCCTAGGTTACTGCACTGTCCATAGAAATAAATTTGTTCAACAAGGGATCCTGAAAATGTTTGATTGTGGATAGATTAGTTATGCGAAAAGGGAAGATGAATTTGTATTTGCATACATGAGAATTATTCAGGTGGAAAAATATCATCGGTTTCTCTTTGAAATGGAACTGGGTTCTTTGCTGTTTTGTGATATTTATGGAAAACAAATGCAACGAAGTGCATCTTTTACCTTGTAGTTAGAGACGGGGCCAAGATTTATAGATGGAGGGGGTGGGGGTATTAGTATGTTGGGAGTCTTGGGACATAACTTGGGAGTTGTATTTAGGAATTGTAGACCATGAGTAGTCATGTCGAGTGGGGAAATTCTATGCAAGATTATTTGATGGATATCATGTATAGGTTGAGACAACCCCTTTAGAATCTTACACTTGGAAATGGCAGTTCAGGTCTCCACATGCATGCATATTATTTATCCGCTTTCATATCAACCAACATCTATCCCTTTTTTGCCGTAAATTATAGATATGGATTGACAAAGCCCTCTATGTACCAATACATCCTGTGGATGTAGATCAGAAAGGACTTTATCCCATATCGAAGAAATGACTTCAGAATCAGGAACCCAAGCTTTTAGTCCAGAATCCAGACTGCTGGCTGCTTGCCTATAAAAAAAAAGTAGAAGCGTGAGGACGTGAAAAGAGATTTCAAAGACTTGCAATTTCATAAAAATTGTTAACTACCGGACGGGAGAGTTAGGTTTTCTTAGTTGAGATGATTTGATTATCTTTGATTTTGAGGCTGTTTTTCAGTAGAGAATTAATGCCTTCAAAGATGATTCTAGTCTTGAAAGCATATTTTTCATATATCATCTTCAAATTCCAAAGAAGTTTCCATTCTGGTATAGTCAATTTATTATTGCCTATCCCTGCTTTCAATTGTCATGCACTTTTGCCACTTCTCTTGTCAGTCACACTGACATCTGAAGTTTTGAACTTATTCCACTAAACCTTGTTGGAAAAGAATATCATGGACATTGTGTATGTATTATGTAATGGGCAGAATGTTAGTTACTGCGGCAGACTATTTTTGAGATAGTTGGCTATATGAATTTTAGGATGTTTTGATTATTATATTGTTCTTTGAATGAACCTGATCCTCTGGAATTTTAAAGGTCTGGAATCCACAAGCTAATCAAGAAAAATATGCTCCATCTGCCATTGAAGTTCTGCGAATTATAGATGAAACTCTGGATGCGTTCTTTCAGCTACCAATCCCTATGCATCCAGCATTGCTTCCTGACTTGATGGCTGGTCTTGACAGATGCCTTCAGTATTACATAACCAAGGCAAAATCCGGCTGCGGTAATATATCAAATAGCTCACCCAAGATCCAGATTTAGTTTTGAAGCTCTAATGACACGCCGTTTATTGATATTCCATGTAGGATCAAGGAACACTTACGTTCCCACTATGCCAGCATTAACCAGATGTACAACAAATACAAAATTTCAAGGTGTGTGGAAGAAGAAAGAGAAGTCACTGAATTTGCCGAGGAAGAATTCTCAGGTTGCAACAATGAACGGGGATCACTCTTTTGGCGTACCACAACTATGTGTTCGTATAAATACTTTTCAACAAATCCAAATGGAGTTTGATGTTCTGGAAAAGAGAATAATTACCCTTTTGCGGAACTCTGAATCTGCTCATGCAGAAGACTTATCGAATGGGTTGGGGAAAAAGTTTGAGCTCTCACCATCTGCTTGTCTGGAAGGGATCCAACAACTCTGTGAGGCAGTAGCTTACAAAATTGTTTTTCATGATCTGAGTCATGTTTTGTGGGATGGTTTGTATGTTGGCGAGCCATCAGCTTCTAGGATTGAACCATTCCTTCAGGAGCTTGAGCAGAACTTAACGATCATATCAGCTACTGTGCATGAAAGAGTTCGTACACGTATTATTGCTGACATAATGAAAGCTTCCTTTGATGGGTTCTTGTTGGTTTTGCTTGCCGGAGGCCCCTCGCGTGCTTTTATCAGGCAAGACTCCCAAATAATAGAGGATGATTTCAAGTCTCTTAAAGATCTATTCTGGGCAAATGGGGATGGATTGCCAGCGGATGTGATTAGCAAGTTTTCAACTGCTGTGAGGGATGTCCTCCCACTTTTCCGGGCTGAGACAGATAGCCTTATTGAGAGATTCAGACGCTTGACTTTGGAAACATACGGTTCTTCTGCCAAATCAAGGCTTCCCTTACCTCCAACCTCAGGGCAATGGAACTCAACTGAACCAAACACGCTGCTGCGTGTTCTGTGTTACCGGAATGATGAAGCAGCCTCAAAGTTCCTCAAAAAAACCTACAACTTGCCGAAGAAACTGTAATGGACTTGAGGCATGGTTCAGGGTGACGATGGCTAGCCAGGGTGTCTTCAGAAGTGGCATATTCTTGTATAGTGAATTTAGAAGCATTGGTTACTCCACCATTCTGCTTGCAAAAGGTTCAAAATCGGTGGCAACGTTGGAGGCCTGCTTGGAGGAAGGCGGGTTTGAGGTTTATTATTATTCATTTCGTCCGTCAATAGATAATTAGTTCTCCTAGTTGCAGTATTGTCATTGTCTGTTGCATTTATTAATCATTGGTTTGACCTAAGATTCTTCATCCTCCAATATTCCTTCTTTTTTTTTTTTTTTCCCATTTTAATTGTTCTTTCCCCAGTGTAGATATAAAGGGTTTATGTCAGCCCTACGGGTATGAAGTTATTACTAACCTGTGCTACAGGCATCTATTTTGTTCATTTGAGATCATGTATTTATGTTGTTGATCCTAAATAGTCGATGTGCTACAGACATCTATTTTGTTCATTTGAGATCGTGTATTTATGATGTTCAAAAAAAAAAAAAAGAAGATCGCGTATTTATGTTGTTGATCCTAAATAATCGGGATAAGGTTTTATTGAGTTGATTTGATTTGAGCAGGATGAGTGTGGAAGTGCATTTTCTTTTGGTTTCTATTTTTTAGATTGGGGGCAGATACTTCTTCTCCACAAGAAAGATTGAATGTTTGTAAGGTGATTGGTTATGAAATTCTAACTAAAATACAATGACATGTTCTAAATTTGTTCGGCAGTGGCCAGTATTTGAGCTCGAGGGAGTAATCGGTTCAAACTTAAACCTCTGTAATTGAAAAAAAAAGAAATGTCTAGACTTGAAGTAAGAACTAAATGGAAAACAATTTGATCGTTCAATTTAGCTTTCAAGAATGTTGTTAACTCTCAGTCCACAGGATATGATGCAGCCTGTTCTAAGGTAGGCAATTTTTTTTTGTGTAACAAGAGTTGTTTGAATTAGATTACGCGTATTTTGATTAATCTTCTTCTATATTCGGTTACTGTTTGGAGTTATGATTCTGGTCATGGCTTTCATTTGGAAGCTTGATCATGTTTTGGTGAATTAGTATATACGTAATTTTTCTTTTTTAAAAAAAAAAAACTATTAGAGTTATTTTTTTTGAAAGACTACAAGTAATTGATTTGATTGAGAGAAAACGATGATATAACTGTAATTTTTTGGTTTACGAGTTATATGTGTCAATCGAATATGATATAAGAGTTTAATAAAAAGCAATCTTATACACATCAAAATTGTATACCAACAAAATGTATGCAGAGTTATCTATATTCGTCAGATCAGTGAGTCTCATCGTTTCTCCTTTAACAAAACATGTATAGATTGACGACATGTAAACAACAGATGAGTATCACACAGAGTTATGGGCTGACAGTCAGTCCTAGCTATTTACTAATTCAGTCCAATGGGCTATTTGTTTATTCTTTATACGACGCCGTAATATCTTCTCTGCTAATCTGCTACTCTCCCTCTCTCAACCACCTATCTCAGATTTCCTCTTCCTCTTCCTCTTCCTCTTGCGTTTCAAACTACCAAAATCCAATGTCGGGTTCCTTTCGAAACTCTTCTCAGCCTTCAAAAAGGGTACCAAAACCCCCATTTCATTGCTTAATTTTTTGAATTTTTCTTTTTTTTTGCCTTTCTAGTATTACGTTTTCTGATTGATTTGTTATCTATATATACAGCAACAAGCGCATAAGCAGGAAAGAGAATGGTTTGCAGTGAGTTTCAAGCCAGAGAACTTCATTCCAGGCCTTGTTATTGGTTTCATTTTTGGGATGTTGTTGGATTTGTCAAAACCCACCAAAAGCACTACAAAGAGGAACAGTGGCTTGGTGGGCAAACATCAACAGCAACAAAGTATACTTATGGCCTCAAGTAACTCCGATGAAGAGCTCAAAATGGTGTGCTTCTTCTTACTTTATTGGGTCTAATTTCTCTTGCTTTCTTTTCTATGTTTGCCAAAATTCTTGCTTAATCCTTGTTATGTTTGCTTTCTTGTGTATTCACTCCCACCCACCAAAAATTAGTTTTTGTTTTAGAAAACTATGCTTTTTTCTCTTTGTGAATCTATAAAGAAAATGGTCTCAACAATCCAGCTCAAAATTAGCAAACCACAATCACATGAGAAACGTTGATTTTAGTGGAAAACTCCTTAATGTGAAAAAAACAGCATTGGACCTGGTCCGGATAAATTTCTTTCAGGATCAGAACAATGGGATTGAAAAGGGGGTGTTCTCTCTTGATAAAGCGAGAAGTAGAATCAATCAAATATTAACAAGACTATTCTTGAATTACGTAAAGAAAAATTATTTTCCATCATGTGGATTTTAACACAACACAAGAAAGCAAACACCAAATTGGGCTGAGATGGTGTCTTGCAAACATACCGTTATAGAGTCTGATTGCCAATTTGCTAGGGATCATACGTGCTTCCATATGGTATTCCTTCTCTTTCTCTTTCTTTCTTTCTTTGTTTTCTTCCTTTTTCTTCTGTCCTTCTCAAAGGTCAAAGGTTGTGATCAATCCACAACGGTCCCACCTATAGTGGAGTTTGGGAATGATAAATGTTAGGAAGCCTTACCCTGATATTGGAGGAGTTGATTCAGGGCCTTGAGTTCCCAATGCATCGCTCGGACGATGAGTACTCCCTGAGTCAAACATAATCTAACAAAGTCTTCCCCTCTCAATTCATGTTAGAGGTTCATCATCCTGCTTTGTTTGGGAACTAACTTTATTGCAAAGTGGTTCTTAGAGATAGAAGACTTCTTCTATACATTGAACTTAAAGTTGATTTCTCCAAATAACGATGTCTGTAGAGATATGTGGAACCTTGCTAATCGTTTCTTATCTGGTTTTCAGAAGAAAGAACTACTCTCTACATGATGCAAGTAAAATTGAGCAAAATAAAGGTAAAAGTATATGATAAAAAGTCTTCCATTGAGCCTTGGCATAACAGGGAGTTGGTTAGATCAAGAGTTGACTATTAAATAAATCTTTTATCTACTGTCGAAAATCAATACTCATCATAATGGGCCATATATACTGACATAAACCCCACTTGCATGTAAGAAGAAAGCAATCAGGATGGAGCCTCTACTTGTGGTGGGAGAGGTGGATTTGTTGGTTTGGGTTCTACTCTTTGGGCACAACCCCATTGACACAGAATGAATCCAAAAAAATAACAGTAAGATGAGATGAAATAAAAATGGGGTGAGCCCATCCCAATTTCTTTGCTTGGTTTTGGTTGAATTTGGAGATGTGTTCTAGGAATCATGATCCACTCTTTTATTGGTTCCTATGGGTGATTTAGCCTCTTCACTTTGTTTTCTTTCTCTTTCATCCACTTAGTGGGAATATCACACTGATATATATCGTTGTTCGAGTCCAGTTAGGTTAGAAATACATTTGTATGGAGCCAAGAATTGTGTTGTTGGTGTTGTTACAGTTTGGTCTTGCTTAAATAGAAAAATTCTTGCCATCCTGTTAATTTTGTGATGGTGGATGTTCTTGGATAAGACAACAATCCCTTGAACCTTATCTCACTTTTTTTGATAAATGGTCTATTGTGTGGTCGATAATTGTTAGGTGACTGCCCACAGTGTAAAAAGGACATTCTTGCTGGTGGTTATTTTTGGGCTTTTCTCAACAACAGTTGTATTTTTACATCAATCCGCATGCTGTGGTGTTGCATAGTGCCAAAAATCAATGGTTATGTGTTTATCAAGAAATTTTGTGTTGATTGGTTTCAATTGTATGGGTAAATTAGTCAGTAGAAATGAGGCTTGCATGGGTAAACTCTTCATTTAGCATGTGCTTGGACATTTGATGAAATCAAGTTTACTTCATTACATCTCAGTTAGAATTCGGGCCTTGCCACAATAAGACGTGATACAATAAGCAGTGGGATTCGTTTTTTTTTTTCCTAAAAGAAGAAGCCTTTTGCTGTGCCTTCTATGCAGATCTGAATTCTTCTTTCTCTTATGGGGATTGATGTTTGTTGATGTTGGGTTCTGCTGTTACATTCATTTCTGCAAGGTTGTTTGTGTTGTAATTTGAGTAGACAAAGGAACAGTTAACAGTTAGACTCTAATAGCTCAATGATATGTGCCACATTTAAGGTGTTATTTTTATTATCTTTTCCTTTTGATGGCCTTTTTATGGTTGAATTGTTATTATCACTGCTTGGATTGTGGTTACTTATTTTCATGGTTGAATTTTCATTATTATAATATTTTTTATCAAATACACACACACACACAGACATAGCTACTGTATTTTGACTATCTAGTTGGTCCTATGAGGATGTAAAGTGAAGACTGGAGAGATGGATACTGAGATGTAATTGATTTCCGTTTGATTACAATGACAGTTTACTATTATCATTGTTGACAATTTCATCTGATTTCCAAGTTGGGAGCTGCTAATGGCAGGTTTTGGTTGTCAGACAAGACTTGAAGATGGGAGCCGGAAAGATTGCATCTCAATGTGCTCGTAAGATGCTTGTAGCATATATTGTTGTTGAGGCTTTGCCTTTCATCTCACTTTATACTGCTCCAAGACCTTCATAATCTTGGTCCCTCTGTTGATTACTTGATTTGAACTTCTTTTTGAAACTTGCAGATGCTGCTACTGGAATGTATTCAGAACTGATGCAGAGGTATATTTTTGCAAATAGGGGATATGTCCTCCAATTCAAGCCCTAATTTCTACTGTAATACAAACAATTGCAAGCATGTCTCTCAATCGCCCTCTAAGAAATTTCAGTGGATGCAGAAAACAGAATCCTACACCCTTTTTCTTTTTGTTTTATTATATATGGCTCGAGTGTGGAGAAACGAACTGATATTTGTGTGGACCATGGTTCAAAGTATCAACCGATACCGATACGAGTTAGTTGAGTCCTATTCATCTCTGCACCTTCAGAGACGATATTGTTATACAATACGTATAAATTCCGAGTCTCGCACAACTTGGCTGAGTCGTCCGAGTTGTATCCGAATTAATCACAAGTCGCCAAAATATCGTCACTAAATTGGCTGATACGGTTCTACGACGCAGCAATATGACCTGAATTTATTGTAATATTCAACATTTTTTTTTATGTCGTATCGCTCGATACTGCGCTGTGACCTATGTGTCTCAAAGCTCTCCAAGTTGATGGCTGATGCCACGACTTTGAACCATGGTGTGTCCAGAGATGGTATTACTCTTGTCCAGCCGAATTGTCAATAATCAATATATCCAATCAATTAGCTTATATGTATTGTAACTTTTAGGTTTTAAAGAATTTATTTTGTGACTCAGGCTTGAATAGACACCACTCTTCCTGGTGAATTTGTTATTACACCCACACGCACACAGAGAGGACTCTTCCATTTAACTTATTCTCATATGTTTCAAAATTTTTGATGAATTTTATTGTATTAATTACAAAACCGAGAATTATGTTTATGGTCATTTGTCAAGAACATGAAGTTGTCTCCTGCAATGACCAAGGATGGTAAACATCCTGGTCCAGACCATCTCTGATATACTGTTTCTATGTCCTGATTGTCATATTTACCATCATGATTTATATTGTTTATGAAGTCACCTCTTTTGGCAATTGATAAGAGTAAATACATAATGCAGCCAGCGGTACCTTTTGAGACAATGGGAACTTTGTGGGCAAGCCAAGATAGTCGTGACATGCAAGAATCAACAAGAAATGTAAGCAGGTGATTTAATATTTAATTTCTCACTGAGATATTGCTGCATTTTGCATTTCTTATTTTTTAGAAGTGTCACTTTGTTTGCCAATGTATGGGTTTTGATCTGGGCACCCTGTCAGGAATAAGCTAAAGGAAGCCGCTGAGAGCATTGGCCTTCCAACTTTTGTTGTTGCTGATGCGGGACGCACACAGGTGTCCTTTCATCCTTTGTCTGACATGATGTGGAACAGATAGAAATCACTTTAGAGTATGTGACACTGATTATGTCAGCTCTTAAAATTCTAATAGGAAAAAAAAAAAAAAGCTGCTACTTGGGTTCTTTTGGTAGTGCAAATCTTAAGAAAATTGATACGTAACTTCTGAAAGCAGCATATTCCAAAAAAATTAGATCCGTATCATGGATGCATGTATACATTCATCTCTGTTTTCCGCTCGTCTCTATAGTCTCACATTGTTACATGTTTGTATCCCTTAATTTGTTTGATGATATTCTTAGCTGGGCAGTTTCATACACAGAAAAGAGAAATCTATGAAAAACATGACATGACAGCTAGTTTTCTGAGAAGATGATTTTGAAGGATCTTTTGGTGCCTTGGGACAAAAGAGTGAATGACTGCTTCTGTTATATAATCCAGGAGTCTGCGTGTGATTTGTGAGATCTTAAGAAACTTTGGTTCTGCTAGTACTTCCCAGTGAAAACTTGCATGCTTTGAACATTACAGCTGAAACGTTGATGTTCTGTGGCATCTCTCTGTGCTCCTGACGCACAAACAGCGTAAATGATTTGTGCCTAATGATCCAACAAATAGACAATTCCAACAAAGTGTCTCTGCATCAAATGTATTGTTATAAGATAATGATTGGTTGCCAAAACTCATGGAAGGCCCGACTGAGAGTAGTGATCTCATCTAATTCTACGTATAGGCATTCTAGTTTGCACAACAGAACTAATGTTGTGCTCAGTCTACAAAAGTAAATCTGGAACTGGATTTCGTTGGGGTATAAATAATTTCTATACTTTCCTATATTTGAAAAAGGTGGTAGTGTTAAGCTGCATCTAAAAAGCTGGTTTTATCAAAACATATTAGACTTTGGCATTTAGGTTTAATGTGCTTAGGAAAGATGAATCTGATATATTATGCCCATATGTCTACTCTGGAGTCTGGACTCTGGATTACTCTTTTTTATTTTATCTACGTTCAGAGGTCTGCATATAATGTTTTTCTGTTGATCACTTTGCTTTACGTAGGTCTCAGCCGGCTCAAAGACAGTTCTTGCCATTGGACCTGGTAAGCTGCTGCCTTATTCTGCTTTTCAGCATAACTTCTTTCATTGTTCTTGTTTCTTTTTCTTTCTTTATAACTTTTTTTTCCCCATTTCTTCACACTTCAACTTCTTTTTCACGTGCCAGATAGATGGTTGAGTTGTGTGCTCTTTGGTACCTTCCATGGAGAATGCCTTGTGAATCTAATTCTATATGAATTAATTGATTGATTATGTATGATGTGTTCTGGTTGATTATATGATAACTCCTGGTGAATTGGGGAAATTGGTGATTGATAAATTACAATTACCTTCACAGGCAACATATCATTTCATTCGTTGGGATTCCGGCAGGTCTATTGCAATGATGTAGGGTTGTCTTGAGTTAGGAATGGCCACTTGGGCATCCACAACTGGTCAAACGTAATTGGATGGCACATTGGCAGCTACCCAATGATTAGGTTTAGGAGCCCATCTTGGGCTTTTAAATTTTTTGATCTTGGCTTGTACCACCCTAACTTTTTTTCTTTTGTTGAAGTTATGCCTTTCTGCATGATTTTTTTCCTTTTCTCGCTCCCTTTGTTTTTTGGCCTGTTTCTTCTCATTACATAAGTGTGTAGGAAGACCAGCTGTCTCTTTGTTGCAATTCTAGTCATGCTCTGCCATAGCCATCTGTCCATTTTCGTTCCTTGAGAATAATAGTTCTTCTTGACCATTAAACCCAATAGGCCAAGAATGGTCATTCATTATTCTCTGTTACTCATCTTGGCCACAAGTCCTTCCTGAATTGTGGTGTGAAACCCGAAAAATATCTATTTTTTCCCCTTAGCTTTCGACATCACATATCCGCTTGCTTAGTGACCATTAAAGTAGTGTAGTGCGGAGAACAATGGTACATATTGGAGAAGACGCCAAGTTGAAATTTCAGAAATGAATATTTGGGTGAATCAAGAGTGTATTTGTTTTGAATGCAAGGTAAAATGAACTGAATTCAATAATCTGTGCTATGAAGATTAGAAGTTCTCAAAATACAATGACATGGAACACCTGCTTGGTCTGTTAGTTTATTATTCTGATGTCTGGAAATTTTTTAATACATTTGCAATTTGGTAGACACAATACACCGTACATGAGTCATACATCTCATCATCATGAACAAAATAATTCCACACGTTGTATGGATTTCTTCAAATAAAAAAAAAATGCATGCAATGTATTCTTTATACATTTTATACATCATACAGAAGCATCAATTCCTGGAGAAGCTCTATGTAGTATATACTTGCTGAAACCATATCAGCTGCCATTCTACTGTCCTTTATGACTTCCCTGATTCAAATGTCATATTGCTTTAATGATGCAGCTTTTTGTGTGATTGAGCAGGAAATAAATCGGCAGTGGATTCAGTAACTCGGAAACTGCGCCTGCTTTGATGCATGAGGCTTCTTAATAGAGTGACGAATTCCTTGGCAGTCCTAGTTTAATTTCCTTCACAACTCTTTCTCTTCTGCTTCTCATGAGAGAGACTTTGTTACTTCGAAGTCCCTTGTGGAGTATGTAATCCTGAGTGGCATTTCTCTGGTTGATTCTGTCACAGTCAACATCGAGAGTTGTCATAGAGGAATATTTTTCTTCCTTTAGAACTGTTTACTAGGCAACTTGTTTTCCTTCTGTGGATATCTATGCTGTATTCTTTGTGTGAAAACAAAGAAAAAGAAAAAAGTGGAGGAGAGAATATAGAAGAAGTTTGATACCCGATACTCTATCTTCGGACGTGGATGATCATTTAAGGTCTTTGAGGACTCTTCTCGCATTTAATCGTCTGGTGAAGTTCTCCCCAAGAAGGACTTTTGCTGCATAAGCAATTTTGCAGGCTCTTAAAATGTATTTGAAATTTTCATTTGATCTACAATGTAAACTTCTCTGAACTCAGATGGAATAGTTTCTGGTCTACTGGCATGCCATAAATTCTAAAATTTCTGATCGTTGCATGGTTGTTTCAGCTCTTTCTTTGTATAAACAGGCTCTTTGCATGTGGCATAAGATTGCGTATATCTTATCTTTCTCAAACCCAAGAGAAATGGGAGTCTCGTGTACTGGCCACCCATTTACATTGTTATTTTTGCTCAAGCAAACCCATGAAACGCCCATAAACATGAGTTTGAGTGTTAGTACTTGCTTCTGCTATCTTCTGTACCCACTTCTATAGGACTAGTGATTGGTGCCGCCCCATGTGCTTAGTTGTCTTTTTTTTTAATGATTAGGGGTATCCAGGACGGTTTATGTGTACTTCGATTAACTTCTTCTCCAGTCCAGTTAAAAGCAGATCATTCATGTCGAGATTAGGGTATTTATTTGAAATAAATTTTTCATGGTCTAACATCAATAAATTTGCTAAAATTTGAACTCATGAGTTGTCTAGACCAACTCCTCACTCAATTTCATTTCACCTGGTATAAATTTAAGTGAGTGAAAATATAAGTCAAAGTATCACTCTCTTCAAGATAACGAATACACTACTCAACAGATTGAATCGGTTATGCTATTATTGATTTTTAATTCGAATAAGAGCTCACAACTATTTATCAATAAATTAAGCAAAATCATTCTCAATACTTTTGTTATATCTCGAATTGTTTTCGAGACGAAATATTAGTTTCGTTTTAGTTAAGTAATTACATGTTTCATAAATATATATGATGAATGTTTTTTCCTTGATGTTCATCATATATTCACGAAACAGGGAATTACTTAACTAAACAAATAACAAATATTTACTTTTACGTAAAAAACTAATTAAACGTATTATTAGTGTTTAATATTAGTTTAATTTATTTATTATTTATTGTTAATCAGTAGCGGTACAATACCGTGTCGGGTTGGCCTAAAACCCACCCAAAACCCCTCTCTACAAACTGTCTGTTTACAAACCCTAACACTGCTCCTACCCAACTCCGTCTCCAATGGCCTCGCGCTGTCGTTCACTCTCAAAACCAGCTTTTACCCTTCTCAAGTCCTCCATAACTAAGCCCTCGAGCAAACCCACCACTTCATTTCATATCCCATGTTCATCCCCGAAGACGAGTTCAAGGCAAAACTCTTCGCACACCCTTCTCAAGACCCAATTCAATTCTTCTACCGAGATATAGTTTTTTGAATTTTAGTTTTGATTTTCAGGTCATTATATCAATTGGGTTCTTTTTGTTTTTGACTTTCAGGCCAATGTCTCTAATGGGTTGTCTTCAATCTCTACTCCCACTTCACACAGCGGTATCTTCGGCTCGGCTCACCTCGTGCCTCGGCATCGACTCCAAGGGCTCGAGGTCGCTGTCTCAGGGTATGCTCTGCAGTGCAAACCCCGGGGTTTGATGTTTTTCATGTATCTGTAAGCAAAAACAGCTTTATTTTTGATATTCCTGGCTAATTGTTTGTTGTTACTAAGCCCATTGTTTGTTTCTCTTACATTAGATTGATGTTTGTTCGAATTTTCTTTTCTTCAGTCTTGGCCTAGAGTTTGTTTGGCTTTTGCATGACTTGTTTCCTATCGATTTTTCATGACACTCTTTGCTTTGTGTTATTGTGGTGTTTTTTAAATTGTTGTAGATTATGTTTTGGTCATTTAGTTGAAGTGCAGTTTGATATGGATAAGTTCACTGATTGGTTGGCTAGCATGATTTTCCTTTTCTCTTTATAAATTGAACTCATTCTAAACGATGTTGTCAGGTGTTGGACCATGTTTTTCAACGCTTATCCTTATTAATCTTATTTATTTGTTATTTTGTGACAACAACATTTGATAACTTCATCGTTTGAACAAAATTTGATAACCTCATGGTAGTTTGCTTCTTTTCAACTCAACATTTTATTTGTTGGAAGTTGGATCTTACAATTAAGAAAATGGAAGCAGTGTATGTTACGATTTCATTTAATGTACATATTACCAGTAAACTCAGTTATCTTTGTTAATATGTGTGGTCTGTTTTCTGAAATTGAATAATATGTGGAATGACGCCAGAATTTTCCATAAAACTTGTTTAATGGTGAAACTTGTGGATGCAGTACTTGAGAGACGAGATGTGGGTCTAAAAGCTCCTTAATCTTTCAGAAAGTTTTTGTGTTGATAACATTGGGCCATTATACTGCTATGATGAAATGTTGTTCTTACAATTAACATGTCAAATCCTTTTGCCATTTATTTGTTTAACCAGTTCTGACATGTTCTTCTCAGTACTTCTTGAACTTTCATCTCGTGTTTCTTTCATGGGGGGCCTTGTTTGCTCTTCTTGTTTCTTTTTTTTAATGAGACCAAAACCTAAAAAATGCAACCCATGTTTTGTGACATGATTGTGGTGTTTAAATTGTCTTTTTATGGAAACTACTTTGTTAGTTTCTCTTCTGGATTTCAAGAGATGGCATATATGCCTTTTCTATATGTGAATATCTCATAATGAAATGTGTTCGCCGAAACATATTTTATTGATGCCTATTTTGCTAGATCTTCTAACTTTTAAGGCACTTCTTTATCTGCAAAACTACATAATCCTTGTATACAGTATGCACCCGTATCATGATAGATGTACTATAAGGTGAACAATATGGTCACACTTCTATTTCGGTCTCACTGTTAATTATCATTTACCTGATTTTGGATATACTAGTTAGCTAATTATCATGTGATGTATGCCTATGAGTTTCTTATCACATCGATGTCTCACTTATAAGCTCCTGTTGACTGATCACCATGCCACAGTTGGCTTTTTTAACCCTTTTTTCAAGTGGCAAAATCTTGAACCATGAAACTGCGCTTTTCTTATGTGCTTTCTTGCGGTTTAGTTTTTTGAAACTAAGCTTTAGCTTCCTAAATCTCAAATTATTAAATACTCTATTGTCGAGTTATTGTGCTGTCTTTACTGTTTTCCTTGAGATTACAGCCCAGACATTGAATCATGTTTATCTCTCTGCTTAACTACATAGAAAATCACTTTATCCTGTGTTTTTAATCTGATGGATGCATAATGTTTATTTATCATGAACAAATTGTCATAGCACTAGATGAGAGTCAGAATTCAAGCATAATGGACATTGCACTGTATTTGCACTGTTCAGGCGTGGTTTTCTTTGATATTCCTTTTCTTTTTCTTCTCATTGTCCGCTTCTTTTTCTCCTCTCTAATATTCCTCTGGTCCACTGGAGTCAGCCGCTCCACTCGACTCCAGAGTCTTCTAAATCCACAATATGGCATTTCAGATTTTGTACACATTGTTAGGAGATGTTAACCACCTGAAGCGTTATCCGTCCATGACGTCCTATAGACTACAGGAATTGAGAATTTTCAGTAATAGCTTGCTGCAAATGTTGTTATCTTTCAGGTATACTTGTTTAGTTGATTGCTATGACTATGATGCTATCTCACTCTATATAAACCCGGATTGAGAAATTGTTCTTTGTGGACTCTTTAGCCATCAGAATGAGTGGCCTCTTTGTTCTTTTTTTCCTTCTCTTCTTTCTCTGTTTTTCTCTCCCTCTCCAGTCTCCCCTTTTTTCTGTCTTCTGTTTTTCTTTATTTATATTTACTTACACAAACCCATGAAACATACATGCAAGCACAAATGTATAGACATATACAGAGACCACACACAAAGCATCCCCACACTTGTATATACGTCCAAGAGAAAATGCAAAAAGAGAGGGAGTAATAACCAAGGCAAGACATGGGAGATGGTGACAGAAATTCCCTTAAAAGAAGAGTGTGACAGAGCAATGCTTTATACGAGTGCATGGTATGTTAGGCATTTTGAAAACCAAATCTCAGAAGGAAACCTTTTTGTCCCACACCAGCACACTTTTTAGATGGCATGAGCCATGCGTTCTGTCAGTTTCAACAAAAACCTAACAGTTTCACCTTGGTCCAAAAACAGGAGGTTATGAGTCTAATTCTAAATATTGAGGAGGTAATGTATTCCAAGACCTAACCACTGGAAGGTAAAAAGTTATAATTCACACTATTAAGGCAGTTTTTCTATATTTCTAAGTTGTTCTGGCAATGTGCTTATTTTGCTGTGCATTGTCAATTGAATTTTTAACAGATTCATTTTACTCGGAATCGTTTTATGATAGAATCTTTGCCCGTGCCCCCCCTTAACTCTTATGTGTTGTCTTCCTGCTATTTTTCTCAGAACTAGGTCTCAGTGTGCCGCGATAAGAAACTGGTGTCAAAAGTTAGAAGACGGATGTAGTTTTATTCATGAGGATCATGGTTTCTCTCCTCATAAATTGCTGCAGTAATAGTCCTGTATGATGCTGCATTGCTGAAACCATGTGGTTTGTATTTTTGGCTTTATTGTTCCAATGGCTGGAATCCAACCCCATTCTTTGTTTTCCTTGCAGCCTACAATTTATATAATTTTGGATGTCCTGTTGACCAGGATGAGATGAAACTAATTGGAATTATAGCTTATCTTCTTGTTTTACTGCAGAGTTATGTCTATTATTCTGCTTCATGCCTAATAACTAGAATATTATTCCCTCGCAAAGCTTGCTTTTTGACTAGTATAGCTAAAATATTAATTATGGTTAATAGGTAATTATAGCTAAAATATTTATGGTTGTGGAAAAGTTCTATACCGAAAATTACAATTTTTTAAGATTTAAGTTATAATTTTAAAGGACATGATTGATTATATAAAGTTGGGGTCGGACATTGAAAGGTCACGAGTGTCTTCTTTTTAGCCGTTGTAATTTCTCTTTTTAAAAATTGTGAGGAATGTTTTTTTATGGCTCACTGACTGGCCTTTAGCTAGGGTGTCCGTCGGACCATGATCGACCTAACCCGCTAAAGATTCATTAGGGTTTTGATCCAAGGATAGGCCATGGCCCTAGAATTCCTATATGGGTTGGACCGCCCAATCACTTCATGGGCGGTTTAATGGTGGTCTTAGGATTAGTGAATTCAATCTAAATTTGAACTGGATATGGATTAATATTTTAATCTGTTTATTTAAATTTGATTAAGTTTTTTTTAAATGAATTTGGAATTAGATACATGTAAATTAAATCCAATAAAAATTCGACCCGGGGTGTATATATATTTAATTGAGAGAAATTATTATATATTTAGATTATTAATGAGATTGACATGAAATTAAACAAATATTATTGAATATAATGGTTGGTTGATTAAATTAGGTTGAAAGTTAATTTTAATTTGATATAATTATTATTATTTTATGAAATTTTGTTGGGATTCAAATTTTAGATCGAATCGAATATTCGATTATTAACGAATGTGGATATGAATTAAGATTTTGAAATCCATCGAATTCGAAACTCAGATTTTTTATCGGATTTGGATTTGGATAGATTGAGATCCTATTCAAATTCCATCTATTGATAGCCCTAATTCGGATCAATCGGATTGGACAATCCTATCCATCCTACACATTTAGCTAGAGATGCAAGGCAAATCTAAAATTTATACCTCCTCATTCCTTATTTGGTTCAAGAATTGAAAAATGGTGGGTCTACACTTATCACATAAATTAATACTTTATTTAGATGAGATATTGAATGATGGTATAACTATTAAAATTATAAACAAAAAACTCCAAATTATTAGTCCAATCCATACCAATATCTTTTGTCTCACGAGGATGATGTCTTTTGCTTCAATAGTACTCCACAACTCGGATTCTTTAACCCACCAAGTAAGTGGGTTTAATTTTAGAAGGTGTGTGTGGGAATAAAATTATTAATATGTGAGTCTGGATTATTTTTAAGTGATAGTATCAAACCTATATTATGTATCCAAACTTGGGAATAAATTAGATAAGGTGGGTCCAGAGATTATTTTTTTCAATTTTCATTCTTAATACCTAATTCAAAACACCCAAATTTTATAGAGGGTTCGTATAATTTTTCACTCCACGATGGCTAAGATAAACATGGATGATTATTTGACTTTCTCTACATTTTACAATAACGAGAGTCTCGTACACTAGATCACACAAACTATATATAAAAAAAAAAGAGTTTGCCTGATTTATAGAGTTAGTGTTACCACGTTAGGGAAAGTCAGAAAAGGTCCATAAAAAAAAGAGAAAGCCAAGTCATTGTCTGGATAGGTGGTTGTGGAAAGGAGACAAACACTTTACAATGAACATGGAAATATCCCCCCATGCATGGAACCCTATCTACCAAATTGGATATATTGCTTTTAAATGCTGTGAAAATCATATTGTTCTTATTTTATATAGTCAAGGCACCCACTAAGGTGCATTTGGGAGTGGGTTTTTTTTAATTAATTCCATGGAGTATGGTTGAAGTTATTACACAATCTTCGAAATTGTCCACCATAAATTTCAAGGTAACCCTAGTCCCTTTCGGTGAGCCTGAAACAACGGGTGGATAATCGCTATGAGAAAGGGAATTCAGTACCCTTTCTGGACGGTGGGTGGGGTTTCGAAATTTTAATGCATGGTGGATAATCCCCTAAAAAAAAAGAATTGAAGCAAAAATATATTTAGAGGGAATCTAGGTCTAGAAATGACATGATTAGTAATATTTTTGGTTCAACGGTCAGAGGTGTCTGAATCAGTTTATGCACACTTTAACAAAATAATAACCTCCTCTTCGGTCTGGTCAAAGGTAAACTAGCCACGCCGAGATTAGAGAATTTATGAAGGATAAATCTCTTATGGTTTAATCGCAAGAGGTTGTCAAAATTCGAATTCAGAACGTCTGAGTTTAGAACTTGTCCTTATTATTACTTGAATTGCCTTCGGGATTAATATTGCAAAAATTGAAGTAAAAATGGTAGCTCTTGGTGGAACCCTCGGTGGATATGATAATAAATCTACCGAGAGAGAGAGAGAGAGAGGGGGAGAGAGAGAGGGGAGTTTAAGAAAGACACATGCAGATGGAGCACAGAAGAGAGTCATGTGACCACCGCTTAATTTGCTGCACACCAAACACTGATTTAAAAGCAGTACGAATTTCAAGTAGTTGAATTTGTACTCTTGCTTCCATTTGGCTTTACACTTCTATTTCTTTAACAGCTTCTTCTTACGGTTTTCTATTGTAATTGCAGTACTACTTTATATTATACTATGCTATTTTGTGGTTAAAGGCACAGTGCAACATAAGTGAGAAATGATAAACATAAGAGCGAAAAAAATTCAATATGAGTAGTTTTAAGAGGGACGTTGGTGGCTAGGGGTGCAACTCTGGTAGGTTGAGCGAGTCAACTCTATTCCAACCATAGGTATATAATCTTCAATCCTAACCAGACCTCAACCTAAGTACTACTCGAATTTAATTCCGGTGGGGGTAGAATTCGGATTAATTTTGGATTCAAAATTGAGTTGATCTTCGATTAGTTAATTCGGGTTGATAAAAAAAAGAGAAGTGACGAGTGAGAGAAGGAGGCTGAGAGTTTGAAACGAGACTCAAACGAGTGAGAGAGGGAGTCCGAGACTAGATGAGAGATGAGTGACGAATGAGAGAGGGATCTGAGAGTGATGGAGGCACAAGAGTGAAGACTTGAAGTGAAGTGAAAGTCTGAACTCTGAATAGTGAAAATAAATATTAACCCTAGTTAAATATATTTATATATTTATGTATATTCGGGTTTAACCCAATTTAATAATCTGGTTCAACCCGATTTTAATATTCAGATTGAATTGGTAACTCAAGACTTCAACCCGAGGCTTGACTTGAATTCAATTTTGGTTTGGGGTTTTTTGCCCAGGTCCAACTTAAGTATTAAAAATTTTAACCTAAGTCCTGTTTTTTTGGAGTTGGGTTTGGGTTGAATTCGGGTTGGCCTATCTAAGTTGCATCTTTATTGGTGACTATTGGATGAATTTATTTAAGACCGTTAAATGAATTTATTAAAATTAACCCTATTTTATAATATAGATTAAAGATGCACAGATAATAAAAGAACACAAAGTGGCAGTGGACATACTTCTGAAGTTTTCAGAATAATAAATTAAAACTATTTACTTTTGATTAATTACATGGTAAACAATGAGTTAATCAGAAAATAAATATATATACATATATATCTAGAGGAATCTACGAATTGTAAATTTTAGTACAGGACTATGGATCAGGGATGCCTAGGATCACCCACAGAATACTAATAGCATCTTCACCTGTATCACCTCCTCTCTCTCTCTCTCTCTCTCTCTCACTCTCTGTGCAAACATATATCTATGTGTATATAATATAGATATTTCAGGAATCATTTAGGCAGCAAGGTTTGAGGGGTTTGGCATCAGTTACAAATTTGGGGCATAATGTGAGGTGGTAGAGGGGGGTGAATAGGACCACTCCTTGTTTTCTTCTATGAGACCTAACACATAAGCTCTAGTACTTATTTAATTCAACAAGTATTACCGTATATATCAAACATGTAGTCTGTAGATGATTAGGTGTATTCGCAAGAACTAGCCCCGTTTTAAAATGGGCACAGCTTTTGTTACTCGGAGGAGGAAGAGGAGAGGAAAAAAAACTCGAAGGAAATTCACTGTTCAATTACACTGCTTGAGTGTTGTTGCTATTGTTGAATGAAACATTTTCTATATGAATATCCCATTTCACTACTATGGACATAATGGCACCAACTTCGCTGGATAAGACTGTTTATTTCTAACTCTTCTTTAAACTCCGTGGTAACCAAAACTTATATATATATATATATATACACTTCACTGTGGTATGTGAGGGATAAGATAAGACTGTCATTTCCCTCAAGGGTTCTTCTGGCCAAAGATGACCTAGGAAATGCAGTGTTTGGAACGTGATTCTCACGTGCTTGCCATGAAAGGAGGCACCTTCAAATACCATAATACTTCACCTTTTTCTTTTCTATTTTAAATCTCTCTCTCTCTCTCTCTCTCTCTCTCCAAGAGTGGGTTCTGGTGGAATTGCATTCCCTGATAAAAGATATGCCAACAAATTATCAAAAAGTTTTCAGTGATGGCAGAAAACGAGGTAAAATGAATTGGTTTCCTCTCTAACATTCTCTGTAAATTTGGGTAATTTACCCTCAGATGATACATCTTTTTTTCTCACTGAAAGTCATGTAGGCCAACCAATCCCAAAGAGCTGACCCACATTTTTGTTTTAATTTCTTTGTTCTCTTTTATTTTTGTATGAAGATCAAAAATGTACCATTGCCCATCGTTATCGTGTCATTAGAGCAATACTACATGGACATAAAAATTAGACTTAATAATCTCAACCATTAATTTCACTATAGGTCCCAGCATTTATTGGAACCTACTACCTATTTAATGGTTAAGTTTAGTTTTTAAGTCCATATAGCATTACTCATGTCATTAACCTGGGTTTGAAACTTCATCCAGTTCCCCAAATCAAATGAAATACTTTCAAATTGTAAACAAAAAAAGACAAAGAAAAAGAAAAAGAAATCGATCTCTATGCACCGATACAATATTCTCTGAATTTTTTGGATTTGAAAACTAGGTGAAATAACAAAAATGAACGAGAACATCTTTCTTTTTTTTAAAGAGCCGAGTCCACTCTAGTAGGCTTCTCTTAATTCTCATCAATGGCACCATATGAGTTCAATTGCAACCTCCATATATAGATTGAAAGTCTCAGCATAAGATTCTATTATTGAGAATTACATGTTGGTTAAACATATCATTTACATTCTTGTTATGCATGCTAACATACTCCCAAATTTACCCAAAAATAACACTTCGACATGGCTTGTCTAGAAATATATCTGCATATTGTTTACAACCCCAGAGAGAAAATTTTAAGGTGTTGACTCTTAATCTTTTCCTTTTTCTTTTTTTTTTTATCTGAGGGTGGGGGTGGTTTTTTGTGTGGGTGGGGGGAAGAATACCCATGTATTATTGGCATAGTATAATCCAGTCAAACTTGTTTTGTTTGGCTGGCAGTTGAATAATGTGATCCTTAAGGATATCAGTTTGAAGATGTACCATATTGTGTTCTCAAAAAATATTCCCAACTGAACCAAGAACCAGATTGGTACAATGCAACACTGTAGGATTTGCCCTTTCCTTCTCCTAAGTACACATGCATGTAGTAAAATCGACCAGCCACAACAATTTCGTCATTACCACATAAAATTATGAGTTGCCGAGTTCGAGTTTCCATTTGGGATCGCTCTATTACATGAGTCACGAACGATTAGTCGGGTGTTTTAATAGAACTGAAAGCAATATCAAGAATAAAATGAAAGTCAAAAGGACATCAAAGACCCTTACTCTTTAACCCCCCCCCTCCTTTTCCTTTTTTTTTTTCCTAAGACATCAAAAATTTTGAAGAACAAAAGCTATAAAAATTGGATAAGTTAAGAAACATCAACCCTAGGAAATTAGAAAACTAATAAACTCTCTAGAATAATTTTGCAACTAAACCTCGAGTCCCCACCTGAATTTCCTAGGCTAGCAAGTACTAGATCAGCTGCTGAAAGTCCGGCCCGATATGTTGATGGATCAAGTAGTCATCAACGTTGGATGCATCAAACATCATGTTTTGATGAAGAAAATGTTGCTGCTGTTGCTGGGCCCGCATCATCTCCTTCTGTCTCCTCAGCTCGATCACTTTCCGATGAGAATTCGAGTGCTTAGTGAGCACAAAAGTGGGGCTCGCTGCGGGCCGGTACTCCGGCACGAGTCGGCCCGATTTATACCGGACTCCACAGGCGTTGCAAAGCGTTTTTGGGCCCATGGGCCCGGTCCTCCACTGGGGTGTCTTATCAGTGGCACAATGGAGGCACTTCCGCCCATCGCCACCACTCACATTCCCTCCATTGTCGAGAGGTTCCTTCTTTTTCGGTGTTGGTTTCACCGTCTTCTTGCCGGAGCTCGACACAATGTCGGAGTCCGACGAAGACGAGATTGCTGGCGTGGTGGTCGGAGAGACAACCAAAAGGCGAGACGTCCAGTTGCATGGTGCGGCCCGTGAGCGCTTGCTACGTGCTTTTCCGGGGACCGACATCTCTGGACTGAATTTCGAGGTGTTTCGATTTGTTCCGGGCTGGAATTGGTGGGCCTCCGAAGCTTCGTCGGGTCGGGCCTTCATTCCCGATATCAGCTGGAGCTTCTGCAAATCCTCAGTGGAGAATGATTCTTCCACAAAATTGGATAACCACTCGAGCTCAGCCAGATCATCATACTGCAAAACAAAACGAAAAAAATAAAAAATAAAAAAATAAAAAATTTGATCATCAATTTGTACATTTATTTTTTAAGGGTATTTAGATTTGTCCCGACTACTTTCTCAAGTTTTAAAATTAACCACCGTAACTCGAGCTAGTTTAAAAACATATCTCCTCGAGAATAAAAATGACTACGGGTCTTTAAGAGGGGTGTCAAAGTACTAAATTTGAGACCTCCAACTTATAAGAACATAAATTTGACCATTGAATCAAGAGTTATCAATTCTACATTCATCCATTCTTGGTAGTTGTGTACTTATGGTAACAGTCCATATGTGCAAATATAATCACACTTATATAATACTGTCTTCGAAATTTACAGTTTTTTTGTTTGGGTTGCTAAAAAAAAGGCTGTCCACAATGCTCCTACCCTCGTGACGTCTAAAGAAAGTTAGGTGTGTATAGTCATACTTCCATTACATAGATGCGTCGAAATGTTAATTTCTTGTTTTTCTCAAGCAATCATGTTGGTTTTTTCGTATAGGGGTGGAGTTTAATTTTAAAGATGAATTTTGGATTTTGATGAATTTAATTTTGAAAATGGAATTTTGGATTTTTAAACCCCAAATTCAAATTTTCAAAACTGAAAATTGAAATGAAACATGACCCATAAAAGGCTAAAAAATTTCTTATCGTTTGGCTAATTTCTCTGCTACCTATCACAAAAAGCACACGTTTTTTTTTTTTTTTCCTGTCTTGAAGAAAACAAAAGCTATTAAAACAAAATTCTTTCAGCATATTTACGTACAAAAAGTGCTTAAAGCTAAGTGTCAAAGTATGGTAAGGAATTTCTTGAAATTATTGTGAATAACAATGTTATATAAATTCAAAAATTAAACTTGATAATCTCAATCATTGATTTTATTGTGAATCTCAGTATTTATTGAGACCCACTACCTATTCAATGATTGAAATTATTAAGTCTATTTTTTAAATTCATCAAACATTACTCTATTTTAAATTATCGCGATAAATATGAAGAAATTTATGAAATTACCGGCACGCAAATGTCACTAGAGAATTGGCCATCAGGGAAGCTCCGGTAACCCATGTTACCGGAAAAGTGAGGTTCATTTCCTGAGAATGAAGAGTTGCAGCTATCAACGACGGTGACAGTGGAGGAGTCAGTGGAGTTTCCGGCGATGGTATCGAACGTACCCTCCTCCTTGACAGCAACATCGTCGTTTGGGAAGTCTAGAAGGTCTTCGACGACGAAATGGTCACCGGGCTTGGTATCGGAGTGGCGCTTTTCCGGTGTGAATTGGGCATTGTAGTATGGTCCTTGGAAGAATTCTGGAGTCTCCATTGAAAGTGTTTTTTTTTTTTTTTTGTGAATGCACAAGAGGATGAGAAGGAGACTAGTGGAAGGGAGAGAATGGGGAGAAAGAGTATGTAGGAGTTTATGTGGGTGAGTTTAGAGAGAGAGAGAGTTGGGAAGTGAAGTTTTGGAGGAGAGAGAGAGGTGGGGGAAGAAGAGAGGAGAGGGTTTATTTGCGGTAGAAGGGGACAGGCGGACAGCTAAAAAAATGGAGGATTTTGACGAGGAAAAAATTATGGCTTTAAAAAAAAGTGAAAATTTGTTGATTTAAAAATATAAATAAAGTGTCTTTGGAGATTTAATGATAAATAGAGGAAATTTTGGTGTGAAGTTACTATTGAGCCCTTGAGGGGTTGGGAAATTGGTGGATTGCACGTGACGTGTGATATGTTTGAGTCGTGGGTGAAGGGTATAGATTTTATTTTAACGAGTTCGGATCATACCCATGTAATCCAAGTTATAAATATGACAAGTATATATATATTTTTTAAAAATGAACTCCAAGTAATAATTTAAACGTTTTGACTTCAAAGCTTGACAATTCGGACTAAACAAGTAATGTTTTATCTCTTATAAATAACTTAGTCTTAATGTGGATGGTCTGTTTTTGATCAAATCGTACAGAAAATTAGTTGAGATTCGCATAAATTGACTTGAACCCTGTTAAAAAAAAAAAAAAAAAAATGAATATGAATGAGCTTTACTTAAACTAGGGTCTTCTCCATAAACTCTATTGAGTTAAAGCTTGAAAATTTGGCCTCGGGACCGTGGAGTATGGACCAACTGGATATAAGTTGCAAAGCTACAACGGGAAGATAATAGAGGTAAATTAGGTGCTACTTTGAAATATCACATTTCAAACTTCATTAACTACAAGTTTGGCAAGTAAAAAAATTGAATGAGAGATTTTTGAATAGGTAGCTTGCATAAAATTTAATATTTCTGATGGAAAATTTGAGTCTTTTTAATTTACTTCTCAAAATTAGTAAATTTGAGGCGTGTAAGAAGTCATCTCTCGATTATATATTAAATTTTCATCTTGGAACGATCAAAACAGTTAAAATGTTCGAAATTGTAATTAAGGGATGAAATTTCTATGTTTGTCCCACAATTTCTAAATAAAATTTTATAACTCAAATACATATAATTTTTTAGATGAACGGATCACATAAATTTTTTTAGTGATACTCATTCATCCAACCCTCGTGCAATTTTTTCGGTTCTTTTTTGGCTTGTATTTGTTTTGAATTCCTTTTGAGTTCCACGTCACCTCAAGAAGTCTTAAAGTTTTGGTACCATAATGAATTTTTTTTTTTCGATACCGTAAAATAACTAGTGCAAGAGTCGGGGACTACTTTCTGATCATGATGCAGATGATACCCCAGTTGTACAATAATCGTCACTGACACGTACCACACACAATCATTCAAACCTTACCCCTGCAATCATGTATAAGTAACGTAGAATACTTGTCATCCACATGGGCATTTTGGTAAATACACAATATCAATGTCAGAAGAACAGGTAATTAAGAAATTAATTAAATGAAAATTAGTGTTCAAATTCAACCCCTTAGGAAGCGATCTAGCAGGTTTGTCGCTGTTTACTGCCCGATTCCTCTGCTTTATTTCTTTCTGTTTTTTTTTTTAATTCTCGAGGCTTGCGCTTTAAATTTTTTTCTCAAATTATAATCTCTGATTTTCACCTTTATTTTATTTATTATTTTATTAACGACCCCTTAAATATATTATTATTATACTCTGTACCCCCCCCCCCCCACTTGTAAGCACGACGATAACAGCTCAACTGATCATGATTAACGGCCTGGATCATCCCAACGTGTCGGCCTTTTTTATTTTTTATTAATTCGGTTTTTACTTTTTATCTATACCTTGCCACGTCAGTGTGAGCGAGTCCCACCGTTATATCTTTGGGGTTCTTTAAACGTGTCCGTAGCGTATAGGGTAGGGCTCAGAAGTGGGCCCGACTTCTTGAAAGCAATCCCTATGTTAAAGAAAATTGATAATTTTTTTTTTTTAAAGTCAAAATATATATTATATAATTTTTTTTTTTTTTTTTTGGTAATGGAGAACTTCTCCAAGGAAGGGTATATTAGATAAACCTCAAATAAATTAAATTTATAATACGTATATGAACCCATTAATAACTAATATCGATTAAACTCATCAATATCAAATTTAATACATCCAAATATACAATTTGCTATAAGTTTAATTCCGTTATTATTAGATTTCTTGTGCAAGTTCTACGAATTTTAGCTACTCAATAAACTTTAGTTTTTTTTAGGTCAAGAACTTCAAAATGTGAACCTAGAGGTTTACTTTAATTCACTTAAAATGTATTTTGTCAATGGGTAATGAGTTTAAGACTGTCAACAGTGAAGCGGGTTCGTATCAAAAATTATTTTACATATGTTTGATTTTGTTTATTTATTTGTGTCTAATGAATCGCGTCATATCGAATTTGTGTCGTATATAAATCATATATAATCAGCACATAAATGAGTCATATCGTGTATTTATACTCGATTCGTGTGTTAATCGTGTCGTGTCGTGTCAAATCTACTTATTTATAAAACGGGTAAGTTAAAAAAAATTCAAACTCTTTAATTTCTTGTCGTATTAACGAATAGTGTCATATTTTAACACCCCTAATTGAATTCCATGATCTCTAAAAATACATATTAGATTTAAAATTATCTTCGAGAAAAGTTTTTTTGTTATATCTCCACTATATTTGTTAGTGTTCAAATTATGATGTTATGTAATTGAAGAATTTTAGTTTCATCACCATCACAAAAAAATAATAATAAAATAACTAGAAAGATAGTGTATTGCGTGAATGAAGGGAGAATGATCTTCTCTTTTCTTTTCTTTTTTTTAGTAAAAAAAAAAATGTATGCAAAACGGACTTGTATAAGTTCAGATCTATTATACCTACCAAATTATATAATTGAATTTTCTTAAAACTCCGGAAGACGTTCACTGAGTGCATCTTCGTCAATTCATAATCAATCATTAGGTTGCTAAATTGAATATTATGCTTTATCACTGCATTTTGAGAAATTAATTGGAAAAGTAAAAGAGGTCAAAGTCATATATACTTCCTCAATTTTTTTTTGAAATTAAAAAAAAATATTTATTGATTTTTATGGGATGAATATGGCAGCCTACCCCTTTTTCTTTATACTTTTTTGGCTTTAATGCTTGAATTAAAAGGAAAGGCCGAAAAAGAGAGGTCATTGCTTGGAGTGGAGGCTTACTATATAATATAATTTTTTTTCCATTTTGTTTTCTTTTTTTTTTTTTTAATATTTTACTTCGTTATTATTTTTTTATTTTTTGTTTTTTTGGTTGGAGACCAAATTGCACGTGACAGAGGTGGAGGAAGTGTCAGCGAGCCATGTGAGTGCTTAACTCACTGTCTAAAGCAAAAGGCCAAAACTGACGGTGGTCAATGCCACGTGGTGATATTCTAAGGGTGTTGTGCGGTTTTTTCTGTAACCCTTCGTTCCGGTTAAGTAAGTGATCTACAAGGCCATCCCTTTTAATAGTTTTACGATAACGTGAGAGCACGTGCTTTCTGGTCACGTGAGTTGGTGGCAATGCACGTGCATTCCCTTGTGACAAGTCACGTGGGAAGGACGTTCTGCTTTTGCTTTCCGGGCCATTGCTTGCACACTGCCGTGCCTATATATGTGTCTTCGTTGATATGACCATAATGCCCTTCTTACCCAATCCAATTATAACTCATTTGATTATCGTAATAGAAATGAATGGATTAGATATACTAATTTAATCTAATACAATACATATAGATAAAAGATAAGATTAAATAGGATATTAAAATAATATTTAATTTTATCTATTATTTGACAATACACAACTTAAACATCGAATAGTAATTATTTAATTCAATCAGTTGTTTGGTTAAGAAATTATTTCATCATATTAGTGTTGAATTAATAAAAATATCCTCTATCAGTATTTGTAACATTGATAACAACTTGATTTAATCAGTTGGGAGTTAAAATAATAAATGTGTAGAATAATACGTTTGAATTAGATTATAATACCACATCTTTTGTTAGTATTAAAATACCTCTATAATATAAGTTTATCGTATAAAAAATATATGATAAGTATATATTTTTTTGAAATTAATACAGTATCAAATTTACGTACCAAACAAAATATTAGAACCGATTAAATAAAAAATAATACAATCTAATATCTAATCCCCTCATAATACATTTATCAAACCAGCATTTAGCGTTTGTTACCCCGTTTTACCATGCTTAAAATATGTAATGTGGTTAAAGGATACGTATGACTAATCAAATCAAACTAGATCAAGTTTTATTTATTCTAATCATTTAAGATCGGTTATATAAGTCTATCTTTATCATTCATTTTAGACATGTACTATACGCTTATTTAAGTTAAATATTTATATATATTTTTTTATTATTTAGGCAAATGTTAATTTAAATTTATTCCTACTTTCAGTACCATTAACATAAACAGGGTAACAAACGCTAAATGCTTGTAAACTATAGTATTTTGGGCTAACCCAATTTTCACTTTTTTGTAATCTTGGTCAGACATAAAAAGTGAAAATTGGGGGTGAGTTCCCCTGGATGTACTTGTTTGGAGATAAATTCGGCAAGGAAACTTATAAGGGGTTAAATCCACTTTCAAAATTATGTATACTGACTTAAGTCCATTTTTTTTAATCTCAAAAATACTCCTAACGGTGTTAATCTTGGATAATTATGAAAAGTTATAGATTAGATATTTTGAGATATATATGGTAACAGTTATATTTAGTTTTTTATGGAATAGAGAATATCATATTCGGCTGCATGATTTACATCAAAATTAATGGGCTATTATCTCAAATTCAGTTCAAAATTTTCTATTAACAGATTCAAATTCAAATTTCATTTTCTGAAGTACAGGAACTTC